AGATTATAGAGAGTAAAGCACTTACCTCGAATGCGGCTGCTTTTGCCAACCTAGGTTTCATCCCCAGCACTGCATACGGTTCCCTGAGCTCTGCCAACGATCACTCCTGCACACAGAGCCGGAATGGCAATCTTTGTGCGCCACTGGATATAGCCCAACACCACCCCCCTCCAGAAAAGGAGAAAAGAGCTTTAGGGTTTTCGATGAGTTCATATAAATTGGCTGATACGGTAACCTCACACAGTGAGAACGTGCTCTTTTTACAGAGTAGGAGAGAAGAGAAGTGCACGGAGGCTTTTCTGCAACGTGTATTTTCTCCTGGGTTGTGTTTTCCTGAAAGTTTCTTAGAAACTGGAGGGAGTTATCCAGTTGTTCTTTGGCTCCTTCTTATTTGGGGCTCTTTTTTTGTTTTTCCTTTCCCAGATGCCAAATGGAATACAGTGCAAGGCATTTTTCTGAGGGTGAAAGAGCAAAGATTCCCTGGAGCTCGAAAGTAGTACAATATCAGGAACTCCTGTTTAGAATTCTGAACTGGAAACAGGCTGATGATCTTGTATTTCATTCAGCACAGATCAGACTATTGCTCTTAAAAAACAAACAAATTCAGACCTTTTTTTTTTTTTTTTGCTTTTTGGAATCGAACCCGGGTCTGTCGTGTGCAAGGCAAATGCCCTACCCACTGTGCTATTATTCCAGCCCCAAGTTCAGACCATTCTTATTTTTGAAAATGATGTTATTTCTTGTTATTAAGTTTAAACAAACCAGGAGAACTGCAGACAACCCACATGGCTATCAATTTGTCACTGGACAAACACTAGAATACTATTTATGAGTACTGGTCATCATACGACAAGACAGATGCATTTAAAATTACTATGTTAGGGGGTCACTGATGTGTCTTGGCAGTAAGATACTTGTCCTACATGTGTGAGGCCCTGAGTTCAATCACTAGCACTGCAAGAAACAAAAAATTATGCCGAGTAAAAAAATTCAGGCAGTCTCCTGCCCCTGCGCCTGGCTGTTCCTTGCCGGGGTCCCTTGGAGGGGAGCGGGTTGAGTTTTCCTCCCCGCCCCGACCAGGGCTCCGGGCAGCCGAAGACCTCCAGGACCAGCCACCACCATGCCGAGACCACTCTCCGTACACATGAAGGTACTGGCAGAGGGACAAAGCCACGCGGGTTCCGGGGCCGAGATCTCCAAGCCTACTCGGACTGGAGTCGAGCATCTTCCACCCAGATCCTCCAAATCCCAGTAGACGGGGGTCACACCCACCACCTGGCCCCCTGGCGCCGTGTAATCCCATCAACGGCCAAGGCCAAGACTCAGAGACTATAAAATCCAGCTCCCGGAACTGCGCAGCTGGGACATCTTATCAGGACATCTTTTTATGACATCTTATTATCTCATTCCTACTTTGGACAAAATTGCAGGCTATCGAATGTAGCCTGCCCACAGGGGAGAGTCTGGCCAACTCCCCGTGATGTACCAAATATGCCAAATACCAGTAACAATGATGGGTCTCATTCTCCTAAAGAGCCTTGAATATAATCTCAGGGCTAGGATGAAAGAGACGTTACTGGGGCCTGCTCGAGGCAATCGACGAATAACAGGATGATGAATGAAATGAATGAAAAAAATTCAGAATTAAAAGAAAGGAGTATATAAATGTATCAAAGAGCTGGAGTAGTACATGATTTCCACAAGAGTGCCCCAGGTTTAATTCCCAGTACTGCAGGGCCCTTGAGCCTGCTGGAAGTGACCTCTTTCCCAATTACGTATTATGTAAGTCTATTTATATAAAGTTAAATCAAAAGCAAATTAATCTATGACATCAGAAAGCTTGGAAGTGGTTGGCAGGGGATGGAGGAGGTACCCAGAGAGACTTCAAGCAAATGAACAATGACCAAGGGGTATAAAGAACTTTTGGAAATGATTAGGGTATTAATTATGAATAAAATTTTATTATATTTAGGGGCTGGGGCAATAGTACAGAGGGTAAGGTGTTTGCCTTGCAGCCAACCAAGGTTCAATTTCCAGCATCCTATATGGTCCCCTGAGCACTGCCAGGAGTAATTCCTGAGTGCAAAGCCAGGAGTAACCCCTGTGCATCGCCAGGTGTGACCTAAAAAAGCAAAAAAAAATTATATTTAAAAACATCAAAGTATTTCTAGTATTATGCTTTGAATATGTCCAGTTTATTGTATATGGATTGTACCTCAATAATCATAGCATATTGGTTATAAAAATTTGAAAAGTGCTAAAAAGTATAAAAAAATGAAAATAGCCTATTTTTCTATCACCCAGAAATAAAGTTTACTAAGATTTTGGTGTACTACCTCCTAGACTTCTTTCTATACACAACCACATTGAAATTCAACAGTACATTCTATTATATCATAAGCATATTCTCCCATCGCTAGTAATTCTTTCTAATATCAAGAACAATGCTAATTGCTTTCCTATATTCAATATTATGCATGCCCGTTAATTTCTCAAATTAGGCTGAGAAATAAATACATTATTGATAATAGCACTTCCTGGAACATCATAATGACTTTGTCTAAATCTTCGATTATTCCTTTAGGTTCTATTGCTATAAATGGAATAACTAATCAAAATGTGCCTTATTCTGAATGTAGCTGTAATAATATAGGGGGTTTAAAGGTGTTTGCCCCCTCTCTACCCCAGAAGGAGAGAGCTCATGGTAAAATTAGAATGCGACTGGTCTGTGGTTATTAAAACTAGACATTGGTTGTGTGTTGGTTCTGTGGGATTTGTTGACTTTATCAAAAGGTTGTCAGTACTGGTCCTTTGCCTGCAATTCCTTCATTTTCCGTATTAGTTTAGCTGAGCCCAGATTGGGGAAAAGACTAACTTACAAAGTCTATTCCTGGATCGGAGAAGGTTCAGGGGCAAAGGAGACAAAAGCCAAGACAAAGCAGCAGTATAACATCTGTGACTCTATTATTTTACAACAAAGGCTTAACTCACCCACTTTGTGGGCCCCTGATGGAAATTACAGATAGGCCCCAGAACTTGCATCGAAGAGACTTTCCTGGAACCAAGCTTAGGATGTGGAACTGCTGTGATGTATCTCCAGGGAAACAGAGATGGACAGACTGCCTTTAGGGACTTTACAGCACAGTAAAAGGTTGTTATTGTACATCACCTCTAAGATCTCGAATGAGCATCTGAAGATTGCCATTTCAATTTTGGGGGGTGCTTTTTGGTTTTTTGGGTCACACCTGGCAATGCTCAGGACTTAGTCCTCGTTCTGCACTCAGGAATCACTCCTGGCAGTGCTCAGGGGACCATATGGGATGCCAGGGATCAAACCCTGGTGCACCACATGCAAGGCAAACGTCCTCCGCACTGCACTGTCACTCCAGCCCCAAAACCAGGAATCTTGATCTTCCCCCAAACCTGCTTTTCTTTTTCCCAGACTCCCCTATGTCAATAAGCAATACAATCACCCATTCAGTTGTCAAGTCAAAAAGCTAGGAATCCCAGACTGTTTCTATTCTACTGATAGGAGTCAATCCCTTCAGCAAATCCAGACAAATTTACCTGCATATAAATTTACCTGCATACATAGAAATGTGTCCTTCAGTGCTCCTCCCTGGAGCAGGCTACGATCCATTCAATACATGCAGTTTCCTGAACCTGCTTGGCTTCATCCGCTCTTGCAACTCACCACTTGATTCTGGAAAAGAAGCCAGATCAGTCTTTTAGATCATGGCAAGTCCCTGGCTAACACTGTTAATGGTTTTCCTTTTATTCTTGTTTTTGAATTCTCTCTCTCTCTCTCTCTCTCTCTGTTTTTGTTTTTGGGCCACACCAGCCTTGCCCAGGAATTACTCTTAGCTGTGCGTGCACTTAGGAATCACTCCCTGCAGCCCCGAGAGATCATATGGAATACCTGGAATTGACACCCGCTGGCCATGTGCAAGGCAAGCGCCCTGAGCGGCTATACTATCTCTCCGTCTTCTGGTTTTCCTTTTAACTTAGATCCAAATTCAAAGACGGAGCCAGAAGATCACAACGGGTAGGAAGGGCGCTTACACACACCGGACTCGGGTTCGAGAACCAACACCCCAGATGGGTCTCCTGAGCCAGCCAGCAATGAGCCCTGAACGCAGAGCCTGGAGTAAGCCCTGAGCACTGCCGGGTGTGACCCAAAAGCCAAAATATAAAATAAAACCCCAAGTCCTCCCCACGACGCTTAAGGCCCTCTATTATCTGGTCCTGATCACAACCCCTCCTCCTTAAGCTCCCACCGCGCTGCAGGTCATTCTGCCGGGGCTGCTTCCGTGGATCTTTGCATGATGCTCGCTCTCTTCCAAAGCTCATTTGTCGTGGCGTGGGGACAGTAGGGCGCTTGCCTGCAACGTGTGGGCCCTGCGAGTGACCCCTGGCGAGGATCGTGTCTGCCTTCCCCAACACTGTCTTCGCAGTCGTCGTCTCTGCGGAGTCGAGGGCTTTTCTGTGCTGAGGGCAGAGAATCTCGGTTTGCTCCCCATTCTATCGCTGCAGTGCTCTGAGCGCGGGGGACCTTCACCAAATGCTGGATCAGGGGTGGCTCCTGGCTCTGCACCCAGGAACTACTCCTGGCGGGGACCTGGGACCACGTGGGGTACTAGGGGTCGAACCGGGTGGAATGCGTGCAAGGCAAACGCCCTGCCCTCGGCCCTTAGAGCTTTATAAGGGCTTCCAGACGGCCCTCTGGAGCTTTGAAGAGGCCTGTAGCTGTGACAAGCGCGGGGCGGCGCGGGCGTGGCGGAGGGACGAGGGCCAGACCGCCCAAACGAGACCACGGAGACCTGCCCCGACCCCAGCCGAGCCGAGGGAGCGGCGAGACCCAGACACGATTCCCGGCCGAGGAGATCTCGCGAGAGGTTCCGCAGTTAAGATGGCGTCCGCGCTCGCCGCCACACCTCACATGGCGACGCAGGGGCGCGGCCCGTGGGGGAGGTCGCGCGAGACTTGCATCCGGGCTCGGGTCCGCGAATCGAGCCGGGGGTGTGGAGCGGCCAAGATGGAGCCGGCAGCCGGCGGCCCCGGGCCGCTGGTCACGAACAACAAGCAGCCGCAGCCGCCGCCGCCGCCGCCGCCCGCCGTGGCGCAGCCGCCCCCCGGGGCCCCGCGGGCCGGCGGCGCCCTCCTGCCGGGCGGCAAGGCGCGAGAGTTCGGTCGCGGCCAGCGCAAAGACTCGGAGGTGCGGAGGCGCGGGGCGGGGCGGGGCGCGCGCGGGCGCCGGGGTCCGGCCGGGCTTCCCGGGGGCGCGGCCGGGAGCCGGGAGCCGGGAGCCGGGAGCGGGGCGAGGCGAGGCCGGCTTCCCGGGGCGCCCCGAGCCCCGCCGCCCGGGACGGCCTCCGGGGGGCCGGGCGGGGACCGCGGCCCGAGGCACGGCCGAGGGGGACCCGCACCCCGCGGGGACGCGCCGGCCGCCCCCCGTCCCCCCCGTGGCCGGCTCCCTCGGGGGTGCCGAGTGGGAGAGAGAGAGTGTGTGTGTGTGTTCGTTCACGCTAGTCAAGCTCTTCTGGCCGGCTCCCTCGGGGGTGTTGTCAGCTAGCGCGATCCTTTGGTAGAACGTCCTCTTATAAATGTGTGTGTGTGTGTGTGTGTGTGTGTGTGTGTGTGTGTGTGTGTCTGTGTGTGTTCATTCGTTCACGCTAGTCACGCTCTTCTGGCTGGCTCCCTTTTTTGGGGGGTGTTGTCAGCAAGTGCCATCCTTTGGTAGAACATCTGATTAAAAATGTGTGTGTGTGTGTGTCTTTGTGTCTGTGTGTTCGTGCTCATGTGTTTGGTCTTTCACACTAGTCACGCTCTTCTGGCTGTCTCCCTTTTTTGGGGGGTGTTGTCAGCAAGTGCCATCCTTTGGTAGAACATCTGACTAAAAAGTGTGTGTGTGTGTGTGTGTGTGTGTGTGTATGTGTGTGTGTGTGTGTGTGTGTGTTTTCATGCTCATGTGTTTGGTCGTTCACACTAATCAAGTTCTTCTGGCTGGCTCCCTTTTTTAGGAGTGTTGTCAGCAAGTGTGAACCTTTGGTAGAACATCTGATTAAAAAGTGTGTGTGTGTGTGTGTGTGTGTGTGTGTTCGTTCGGTGCAAAGTAGAAGGACTTTGAGGTCAAAGTGAATTGTTTTGAAAAAGCCATAAAACTGGTCTTTGGGGTGATGTGTGGGCCATTAGTTTTTCAGTGATAATGAATCCACCCATGAGAGAGTGAGTTACAGTTTTTAAGAAAGGTATAATTAGAATCTATAATGAACATGCCAGTCATAGAGTCAGGCTGCGGGTGGGAGGAGACTGGGGGACATTAGTGGAGGGAGGTGGACGCTGGTGAAGGGATGGATGCTGAAACATTGTATGCCTGAAAACCAAACATGAATAACTTTGTAACTCGGGGTGTCAGAGTTCTAAAGTAGCTGTGAATGATTGAATAAGCACTCATTTGATGCTTTTAAATCTCCGCCTTTTAATTTGCACATGGACACCACACAGGGAAGGTGAGTGGATGAACTGAACACATCTGATTCCAGAAACTTGCCTGAATAGATTTTCCTAGACCAGCTGGGGCCAGGGGATCAGCTCTGGGTCTGGGAGCTTGCTCGGGTCTTGGAGGACAGGGAAGCTGGCTGCTGATGAGTGCCCATAGTCTGTGGTGTTGAATTCATTAGTTTTGGCAAGTTTCACCATTTTTTGTTCTCAGCATTTCATTTGTTGAGGGATATGTCGGTACATTCTGTCGCTCTTGCCTGGATAAGGTGTTCTTCCTGCTGCAGCAGTTAGGTGTATGTTCTTAATGTTTTGAGGGTGACTGTTGCCTTCCAGGGAAACTATCACTGAGCCTTAGGATATTACCTATATTCTTCGTTTCTCTCTTAGGAAGCTGTAAAGATCACCTGTCCTAAGCATTTGTTGAAACTCTCTTTGTTGCATTCTCTGCTGTGTGTGGGAGGGAAGCATTCTGTTAGCTGGTGCCTACTCTGTCAATGCTCGGTGAGATCTGAGAGGACAGAAGGGCTGAGGGTGTCTGTGCTCATTTTGTCCTGCGCTGTTGACTGCCCACTAGCCAGCCCAAGAGAGGCTTCCTGTGAAGTGGTCACTTACTGTACAGAAGACATAGATGATGATTAATTGAGAGGACATCATTCATTCATTCATTCATGTACTGTGCTGGGCATCTTGGATTTACTGGACAGAATGGACGAAGACCCTGTTCTCAGGGTACTTTTCGTCTCTCAGAAGGCTTGGTGGGTGATCTTGGCCATTAAGTACGAGTGTGAATGTGTCTGGATGCTCCGAAGGAGGAGTGTGAGGGGCTCTGGGAGGGTCTACGAGGGAGACCCAAGCTACCGTGTGAGACAGTGTTCTGCTGAAACCTGTGTCTTGGGACACAGCAGCACCTGAAGGGTTGCAGGAGGCAAATCCTGGCAGTGATCCTGTGTGTTCCTCCGTCTCCGCAGGGCTTCTCCGAGTCACCGGACCTGGAGTTTGAGTATGCTGATACTGACAAGTGGGCTGCAGAGCTCTCCGGTAAAACAGGACTTCACATTACTGATTTAGTTAGTTTCCTTACTATACTCGAGCATCCTCCACCCAGATCCTCCAAATTCCAGTAGGCGGGGGTCACACCCACCACCTGGCCCCCTGGCGCCGTGTAATCCCATCAATGGCCAAGACTCAGAGACTATAAAATCCAGCTCCCGGACGAGAACAGTGCAGTCTGCCCCCGCGCCTGGCTGTTCCTCGCCGGGGCCCGTTGGAGGGGAGCGGGTTGAGCTTTCCTCCCTGCCCCGACCAGGGCTCCGGCAGCATTCGCGGCCGCGCGACATCTTATCAGAACATCTTTTATGACATCTTATTATCTCATTCCTACTTTGGACAAAATTGCAGGCTATCGAATGTAGCCTGCCCACAGGGCAGAGTCTGGCAAACTCCCCGTGACTTACCAAATATGCCAAATACCAGTAACAATGATGGGTCTCATTCTCCTAAAGAGCCTTGAATATAATCTCAGGGTTAGGATGAAAGAGACGTTACTGGGGCCTGCTCGAGGCAATCGATGAATAACAGGATGATGAAATGAAATGAAATACTTGAAGGAAAATTATGAGTGAATGTCTCTTTATAGTTATGGGGAGTGGGGAGCTGATTGGAGGTGGGGTGAGCCACACCCTGCTGTGCATAGGAGCTGCTCATGGCTCTGTATTCAGGGGGACCATATGTGGTGCTGGGGCTGGAACCAGGTTTGACCACGTGCAAGGCTAATGCCTTATCCCCTGTACTATCTCTGATCCTGCGAATATTATTTTGTAGTTTATTTACCCCCCCTCCAAGTTTTTCCTGTATGTATATAAGTATATTTGCACGCATTGTATGTTTGCAGGCGTGCATGTATAATACATTAATGTGTATCTCATAACTTTGGCGTGCCTTGATTTTTTTTTTGTTTGTTTCATTTTGTTTTGGGGCCACACCTGGTGATGCTTAGGGCTTACTCCTGGCTCTGTGCTCAGGAATCATTTGTGGCGAGGCTTGAGGGGCCATTTGGAGTGCCAGGGATAGAACCCAGCTAGGCTGTGCGCAAGGCAAGCTACGCCGCTCACTGTATTTATTATCTCTCTGCATCCTGGCCTTGATTTTTGAAGTGTCTGTGTGGCCAGCTCGGCTGGCTGTGCTCTAGACCCCTGGGGCCAGTGATGCTCTTTCACCAGACACTAACCCCGGCAGTGGTTGCTCCTGGGCAGGGAATCATGAGTAATGCCTACAGATGTCCCTGCGTCTGTGTACATCTGTCACTGCCGCTGCTGTTCACATGTTCTGTGTGGTCAGCCTGATCTGCAGCGTAGGCATCCATGGCAAAAGGTCATTTCGGGGATTAGCTGCCTTGAAGGGACATGTGTGCATGATGTGGTGGCATGGCCATGCACTGCACTGGAAATTCTTGGGTTCCTGCCTAACTGGCACCCTGGTTATCATCTGCAAGGCAAGCTTGCATTTTCCCTAATGCAGATGTCAGAAGGCCAGAAGTCACTATGACCAGAGCCACAGTTGGGCATGAAAGTAGATGTCTGCCTTTCCTGCTGCCTAGGAGGCCATATGAAGTGGCGCAGATGCTCATGAGACTTTGTTCTTCACAGAACTTTACAGCTACACAGAAGGGCCAGAATTTCTCATGAATAGGAAATGCTTTGAGGAGGACTTCCGGATTCATGGTAAGGTTGTTCCCACCCCTTCTCGGTTCCTCACCTCTCATCACCTGAGAGTGGTAGGGGTATTTCAGTCAGCCGGATGAGTTAGTCCTTACAGAATGGAAACCTGCCCGGCCACAGTTTTCCGAGGCTGGGGGTGACATTGGCCTTGGGGTTGAGGCTGGGGGTGACATTGGCCTTGGGGTTGTAGAGACTGTGGTGGTGGCTCTTCTGAATGTGAATGAGGCAGGGGAATTGGGGGCCTTCTAGGCTTAAAACGCATCCAAAGTAGCCTGAAAAGTCCATTTATTTAGAGCAGCCAGTGACCATCTCCCTTATTAGAGGGACCTTACATTTCCCGACATCTGTGTCCTGTGGCTCCTGAGTTTGGTGGCTTCATGTGCTGTCCTTCCTTGGTGAGACTCCTCTCTGGGCCCAGGTGTAACTGACCTCTTTCCCTGCAGTGACAGACAAGAAGTGGACTGAGCTGGACACTAACCAGCACCGCACCCATGCCATGAGGCTCCTCGACGGTCTGGAAGTCACTGCCAGGGAGAAAAGACTCAAAGTGGCTCGAGCAATTCTCTATGTTGCTCAAGGTACAGAGAGCACGCCCCACCCCTGCGTCCCCGGCTGCCGCCCCTCAGCTGTGGGGAGCGCTCTGTCACCCGCCCTGTGTCGCAGGCACCTTTGGGGAGTGTAGCTCGGAGGCAGAGGTACAGTCCTGGATGCGCTACAATATCTTCCTGCTCCTCGAGGTGGGCACGTTCAATGCTTTGGTGGAACTTCTGAACATGGAGATCGAGTGAGTTCTTCTAAGGGACTTGGGGGAGCAGCGGGGGGGGCGGGGGTAGAACTTGCAAAACTAGCAGGCTGAGAGAGGGCTTCCGGCATTGGCCCTTTGCAGCCGAGGGTTCTAACCAACCAGGCTGAGTAACAGAAGCTGCTTGCTCAGGTCTTGCACCCCTGGACAGTCAGGGCCTTCCCTGGCCTGCCGTTCCTGAGAGAGCTTCTCAGTTCCTTGAAACCTGTAGTTGCACTGTTGATGCTGCTTTTCCCTCCTCCCCCTCCTCCCCCCCAGGCCAAACACGATCTGGCACCAGGGTCAAGGCCTGTGGCAACACAGGTCCTATGTCTGGTGGACAGGTCAATGCAGCTCATCCAAGGATGGTACTATCCATCAGTAACCAAAGTTAAGAACATGCTTGAAATACTTCTGTGGTCCAGGCACTGTCTTAAGGCCTCAGACAGTCATGTTAGTGACACAGATGTTGTTGCAGAGAAATAAACAGGCATGGGGAAGTTAAGCGGGGCCAGAGAAATAGTGCAAGAGTAGGGGGCTTATCTTACCCATGTCAAACCTGTGTTCTATCCAGGCACCCCATGTGTTCATCTTCCCCCCAGGAGTGAACCCTGAGCACGGCCCATACGGCCCTCCCCTCCACTCTCCCCCAAACACCCCACCAAACAGAGCCAAAAGCGGACTAGTGAAACACCTTGTCCAAGGCCTAGGGCTCCTTACTGTCGAAGCCTGGCTTCTGACCATGGCCTGATTTAGAGCCCTAGCTCATGACTGGCTCCTGTGAGCTTCGTGCAGTCTTGGGTCCTCATGCTCCTCCGCAGGGTCGGCTATCGGAGTGTCCCTTTCCTCCTCCCTAAGAAACTCCAACCTTCTCTTCTTCCACAGCAACAGTGCCGCCTGCAGCAGTGCCGTGAGGAAACCTGCCATCTCCTTGGCTGACAGCACAGACCTGAGGTGAGGCAGGCAGGCCGGGCTCCCTGAGCTTTGGCCCCGGATGAGCCCCAGCCAGGGCCCAGGTCACGGGAGGGTCTCTTGGGTTTCTTCCCTGTGTGGTGCGTGATGGGTCAGCCGCCCCAGGATGAGACTCCCAGGCCTCACCCCAGATGAGGTCATACTTCAGTGAAGTGTGGGGTCCTGCTCACGCCATTGCCCCATGCCGTGGCGCTTGCTAGTGCGTCCTCGGGCTCACCTGGCCCGACCCCACCAGTAGGCAGTCCTGAAGGTTCACCAGGTTCTGTGGCTACAAAGGCACTAGCCGCTGCTAAACAGGAAGAGGGCAGGGCCTTCCTTTTGGGTCCGTGTCTGTCCGTGTCTGATGGGTGACTTGTGGGGTTGCCCACCGTAGCTCGGATCCCGGGGCCTGTTTGTCGCCCTCATTGCCATTGAGGTCCCCACTGGCCTGGCAAACACTGACCTGTTCCACACCGCCTGCTCTGCCTTCTCCATCCCACGCCCAACCCCCTCAGCTCACTGCTACCTCACCCTGCCTTTCACCCCGAGCAGCTATGAACTTGTGACCACCCTTGATCCATGTCCATTATCCAGGAACAGTCACCAAGCACCTGCACTCTACTGGGCACTGGAAATCAAAACTCAGCCCACCCGTAGCAACAGGGGTCATGACAGAAGCCCCAGGAGGACTCTGTGGGACCCCAGTTTTCTCTAGGTTACAGTCTTTCCCTGTCACCTGTGTTCACAGACCTTTTCCTTATTTGCTGGGATGGGAGGAAGGCAGGGGTGTCTTCTCCTCTCGCCCAAGTGACCACACCCCCGCGCCGCCGCCACACACACACACACACAAACACACACACACACACACACACACACCTTCCTGCCCTTCTTGTCATGTCTCATCCTCAGGGTCCTGCTCAACATCATGTACCTGATTGTGGAGACGGTTCACCAGGAGTGTGAGAGTGATAAGGCCGAGTGGAGGACGATGCGACAGACCTTCAGGGCCGAGCTGGGTAGGACACTGGGGGTCCTGTCTCAGGCCCTTCTTGGTCACTGAGGTGAAGGTCCCGACCCTCTTGGCCCTGATCCTTTCTTGTTGCCTCCAGGTTCTCCGCTGTACAACAACGAGCCATTTGCCATCATGTTATTTGGGATGGTGACCAAATTCTGCAGTGGCCACGCGCCCCACTTCCCCATGAAGAAGGTGCTCCTGCTGCTCTGGAAGACAGTGCTGGTGAGCGCTGCCTCAGGGGAGGCCTCCCAGATAGCCTTCTGCTTTTGGGTGATATGGCTATAGAACGCTTGGCTTGGCAAACAGGATTCTGGGTTTTGAATTTTGTTTCGTTTTATTTGGGGGGCCACATCCAGAAATACTCAGGACTTACTCCTGGCACTGCACTCAGGAATTGGTCCTGACAGTGCTCAGGGGGACTTTATGAGATGCTGGGGGTTGAACCCTGGTAGGCTGTGTGCAAGGCAATGCCCTACCTGCTGCACTGTTGCTCCAGTCCCAGAAAACAGGATTCTGAAAGAAGCTTCCCATAAGGAATTGACCTCATAGTGCCACTTTTTGGTTTCCCGTGGCCAGAGAGGCACTGACCCTGGGGTCAGACCAGACCTTGGGCCCCAATTCCTGGAGCTGGTCCCTGCTCTTGGTGTTTGCAAAGTTACCAAGGCACAATCCAAACTGGTGTCATTGGGGTCCCTCAGTCAGATGTCTGTTGAAGGAAGTAAGAGGAATTCTCCATTTTCCTCATGGTGTAAACCAACCCTAACTCTCTGGCTAGGGAAGGAATGGGGTTTGGGAAGTTGCCTTGACTGGGGAACCGCTGTCGGGAGCCCCAGGAGAGCAGGTGGAGCTGGAGTTCAGACAGCCCTTCTCTTTGGGGCTTGCTTTCCCTTATTTCAGAGCGAGCCAGCACCAGGCTCCCAAGCTCAGGGCGTGTGGGCCTCTTCCAAGTGCTCTGTGCATTTTATCTTGGCCAGACATCCTGTTGGTTTCTCAGGAAGCCTCACTGAAGCCAGAGGAGAGAGCAGAATTCAGAAACAGTGAAACTGAGCAGTTGAACATGGCTGCGTGCTACTGGGATTAGGGTGAGGGGAGCTCTAGCTGGAGCTTTTGAGCAGAAGTTTGAGCATCTAACAGCATATTCCCAGTTTGACTCTGAAAGATTGGCACGCCCATCCTTCCAGGAGCCGGGGAACCACACTGACTGTCTAGAAGCTGGCAGGCTTGGATTTTTCTTCCTCCTTTCGCTCTGTTTGAAGAGTGTGGCTAACACCCAGAGAGAGGCAGTCTTAACCGGCTCACTCAGACTGCTCCTTCTCTTGCTCTCTTTTTCTCACTCTAATAGTATGGTGGATGGAGCTGGGGCTGGGGCTGGGGCGGGGGCTGGCAGGCACAGGTTTCCCGGGACCCACTTATGGACTGTCTCTCACGGGCCATGATGCAGTGCACACTGGGCGGCTTTGAGGAGCTGCAGAGTATGAAGGCTGAGAAGCGCGCCATGCTGGGCCTACCCCCACTGCCAGAGGACAGCATCCAGGTGATCCGCAGCATGAGGGCCGCCTCACCCCCCGCATCAGCCTCCGACCTGATTGAGCAGCAGCAGAAAAGGGGTCGTCGCGAGCTGAAGGTGAGGGCCGCAGAGACCCCTTGGAGTGCCACCTGCCTGGTTCTTGGCCAAGCGTGGCTGCAAGTGGTTCTTAGGATGCAGCAGTTGATAGGGAAGGGGCAGGAAGTGGCGGTTAAGCCCCACCTTGACTCCTCTCCGGACTCCCACTCTGGATTATCTCCCTCTTCTCTCTGATCACCGCTCTATCCTCCCTGCGTCTGCGGTGTGTGTCATCAGTGGGCTCTTACGGTCTCCACTCCCTCCCCTCTGCTTTCAGGCCCTGATAAAACAGGACAATTTGGATGCCTTCAATGAGCGGGATCCCTACAAGACTGACGACGCTCGGGAGGAAGAGGAGGAGAACGATGATGACAACAGCCTGGAAGGGGAGGCCTTTCCCCTGGAACGGGATGAGGTGATGCCCCCACCACTGCAGCACCCCCAGACCGACAGGCTTACCTGCCCAAAGGGGCTCCCATGGGCTCCCAAAGTCAGGTGAGTCTCGGGCCTCTGGGACACTTCGTTTTGTTTTTGTTGTTCAATCTGGTCTCTCACTTAGACTTGATGACAGTAAAGCAGAATAGGAAAAAGTAACAGACCTCTCAGCAAACACATCTCCATGAATCCCGAGATTGTGTTGGATTTTTAACAAAACTTCTGAATCAAGGGATAGTTTCATTTATGGCTATTAATTGAGATGTTTGAGATTAATGTCAGTGAATCAATGCATGGGAAATACCTGGATATATGCAAGTAGTATCTGAGGGCTGGAGTGATGTTACAGTGGGTAGGGCACTTGCCTTGCATGTGGCTGACCCAGATTCAATCACTGGCACCTTCTCTGGTTCCCTGGGCCCCACCAGGAGCCAAGAGTAAACCTCAAATACTGCCAGATGTGGCCCAAAATAACAAAAAATAAACAAATGAATAAATAGCATTAAAAAAACACCAGCTTGAAAAATATGAACAGGCGGACGGTATAAAAGTCACTTTCTGGGGCCGGAGCAATAGTACAAATAGTAGGGCATTTGACTTGCATGCAGTCAAGCCGGGTTCTTCGGACTCAGCCTTTCTTTGCATTCCATATGTTCCCTGAGCACTTCAGGAGTAATTGCTTGAGTGCAGAGCCAGAAATAACCTCTGAGCATTGCCGGGTATGGCCCAAAACCCAAAAAAATAAAAATAAATAAACCCAAAAAATAAAAATAACTGAAAGTCATTTTCTTGGCCAAGATAAAGGTGGTTTGTGATTAAATACAGAAAACAGTCCATCACAAAACACACGTTTTTCTGGTTGTTTGAGAGAGGAAAATGTACACCCCAGTAAGAGTAGAAGTTGTAAATGCTTGAGAAGTTTTGGTTGACAGACTTTTCATAAATAGTGAGATATAAATCATGCTGTCACTCTATAGACCAAACATGATTGCCACTCAATGCCTCTTTTGCAAATCACAGCACCCAAAAGGAGAGAGAGAACAAAAGGGAATGCCCTGCCACAGAGGCGGGGTGGGAGGGACACTGGGATCAGTGGTGGTGGAGAATGGGCACTGGTGGAGGGATGGGTACTCGATCATTGTATAATTGAAACCCAAGCACAAAAATTTGTAAGTCTACGACTGTACCTCATGGTGTTTCACTAATAAAAATTTTTAAATAAATAAATAAATCATGCTGTCACTGACAAAGAGAGGCTAGAGAGGGAGTGGGTCAGGTGCTTGCGTGGGGCTGGAGAGATACTGTGGAGGTGAAGACACTTTCTGTGCAGCCTACTTGTTCATCCCCAGCAAGCTCATCCCCAACACCAGGCGTGGTCCCCCAGCACTGCTGGGAGAGATCCTTGAGTACAGAACCAGGAGTCAGCCCCAGGCATTGCTGCTCTGACCCCAAAACAGAATAGACCCTGAAAAGGTGCTTTCCAGGGCTAGAGCGCAGCTAACCTGGGTTCAATTCCCAGCATCCCATATAGTTCCCCGAGCACCATCAGGAGTATTTCCTGAGTACAAAGCCAAAACTCCTGTGCATTTGACCCAAAAAGCCAAAAAAATAAAATAAAAAGGTGCTTTTCTTACGTGTCGCCAATGCCGTTTTGGTCCTCAGCATTGGGAGCAACCCCAACCACTGCTGGGTGTGGCCCAAAATAAAAACCAAAAATGTCTTACGATATCAACGTAATTTCATGAATAAACCAGTTCCACACACTGTATTTTCAGGTTATTGATCTAATAGCACCATGAAAAATAATAAATCCGCAAATTTCAGAGTTATTTTTATTTTTTATTTTGCTTTTTGGGTCACACCCGGCAGGGGTTACTCCTGGCTCTGCACTCAGGAATTATTCCTGGTGGTGGTCAGGGGACTATATGAGATGCTGAGAATTGAACCTGGGTTGGCCGCCGTACGAGGCAAACGCCCTACCCGCTGTGCTATTGCTCCAGCCCCAGTTCTCTTATTTTAAACAGACCAATTGTGGAAGACATTTTCTTCTGATTGCTCAGCTTCTACACATGTCGTGTGTGTCACTCAGCGCGACACCATGAAATAACATTGTCTGCTTTGCTCGCTTCTTCGGCAGAGAGAAAGACATTGAGATGTTCCTCGAGTCCAGCCGCAGCAAGTTCATTGGCTACACTCTGGGCAGGTGAGCGTGATCCGGCTCCTTTTGAAGAAAGGTCGTAGGAGGCCGCTCTCCCAGCCTCTGGTGAGGGGAGGGCCAGGCCGCTTGGTTCCAGGGTTAACACAGGCCTTCTTTCTTCTCCAGTGACACAAACACAGTGGTGGGGCTGCCCAGGCCAATCCACGAAAGCATCAAGACACTAAAACAGGTAGGTGGCCTCATTTGGTTCTGAGTGAGTAAAGTGAGCTGGGTCCTTTGGGAGAAGCCTTCGGACACTATTGTCTGCCTACAGAGACCCAGCGTGGAAACGGTTCTTCCTTTTTTGTGTTTTTGGCCAGACTCAGCGGTGATTCCTGGCTCTGTGTTCTGGGATCACTCCCGGTGGACTCAGGGGACCCTATGGGGTACCAGGGATCGAACCTAGGTTGGCTGCTTGCAAGGCAATTGCCCTGCCTGCTGTACTCTCTCTCCAGCCTTGAAACAGTTCTTGGGTCCCTGAACTTTTGTTAGGCGCTGACTGGGTGATTCAAGATGAGTTACCTGAGAGTTGGAGGGGTCAATATCTGATGGGTCGCGTGTCCCTTTTTTTGCTCAGGTTCTGTAGCTGACATGGAGATGTGGGCAGAGAGCTCAAAATGTCAGCTTTGCTGCTGAGAGAACAGCTAGAGAGCGAGGTTTCGTGCACAGAGCAGTGGTCTGGCCTCATCTCCGACTTGAGTTAGGTTCCGCTCCTTTAAGCCCCGAGAGGAGGAGAGAGCACCAACTTCACTTTCATTTTTTTTTTTATGAGTGCTCTGTTTCTCCCCCACATTTAGTGAGATCGGGCTGGTGTGGCCGGGGCACGGGAAGAGAGCAGACAGGATTCGCACGTGTTTATCCTTCCCGTTGGGAAGCAGCTGCTGGATGAATCTGAAGTGTCACTCTGTGTATGTTTTTGAATAGATCTTTGAAGTTTCAGCATGAAAATAGTACGGAGGGCTGGAGCAATAGCTCAGCGGGTAGGGCGTTTGCCTTGCACCGGGTTCGATTCCCAGCATCCCATCTGGCCCCCCGAGCACCGCCAAGAGTGACTCCTGAGTGTATGAGCCAGGAGGAACCCCTGTGCATCGCCGGCTGTGACCCAAAAAGAAAAAGAAAGAAAATTAGTACAGGGGCCAGGCGGTTGCCGTGCACAACCTGAGTTTGATCCCTGGCACTGCCACCTGCATCCGGTCCCCTGAGCACTGGGTTTTGCCCAGCCACTGCACACCTCCCACCCCCAAGAAAAAGGAAAAAGATTTTTTAAATTTTTATTACAAAGTACTTGTATTACAAATAAATACAGAGTAAGAAAGTCTTTGAGTCCTTAATTCTGCTTTTAGTCATTTTTCTTTGTAGCATTTGGGAAGTTCCTTTTTCTTCTTGTACCTGTTGTTTTTTTTTTTCTTTTTCCTACTCTATGATGTGCATTTTATACTTCTTGGAAGTGAGAGAGGCCCACTCAGAAAAATATTTTAGGCTAGGCTCAGGATCTTATTTAGGGACCTTAGTGGGAGAAGAAAGTGTTTGGTGGGCATTTGGGGGGGTCTCTGCCTGCTGTGGGGGTGGCTGAGGCTGACTGCTGCGTTCCCAGCGTCGTTGCCTTCTTTTCCAGCACAAGTACACGTCCATCGCAGAGGTCCAGGTGCAGATGGAGGAGGAGTACCTTCGCTCTCCTCTCTCGGGGGTGAGTTGCAGCCTCTTCCCCAGTGCTGGGGTGGGCCGTGCTACTGGGCTCCCCCAGCCCTGAGCTCACCGAACTCCAGGTTGAGCTCTGTGGGGTGGCCTCTGTCTCACACTGGGGTCAGGACTGTCTGCCTGGCCACAGAGAGCTCAGAGGGCTGAGCACATCTGGGAGGCCAGGTTTGATCCCTGGCACCACATGTCTGCCACCCCACCCCAGCACGGCCTGGTGTGGCTCAAATTCAAAGAACATGGACTTTGCCTGCTGTGGAACCCTGCCCTGCCTCCCACTTCCTCCCAGAGCACCTCTTTCTGCTTTTGTGTCCTCGCCCAGGAAGTGGGAATGACACAGGCTTCTTCATAGTGTTGTATGAAGTAGGGATTAACGAGTCATAACCAGGAGGCACTGGCAGCATGTCACTCAGTTTGCTCGCACTGTCCACCTATATCTAACCCCCGGCTGAGTCACCGACTCAGGGTGTGTGATTGTGCCCATTGTGTTACAGGGAGAAGAGGAAGTGGAGCAAGTGCCTTCTGAAACCCTCTACCAAGGCTTGCTCCCCAGCCTGCCTCAGTACATGGTGAGTGGCCTGTGTTTCGGACCCCCCTGTCCATCGGGGGTCCCTGCTGTGGTCTGGCCCTACCACCTACCCCCGCCAGTCACTCTCTACCCCGTCTCCCACCTCCTCCATGCCTGCCCCTCAGACAAACTGAACCATCCTCCCTTCCCCAGATAGCGCTGCTGAAGATTCTGCTGGCCGCAGCTCCAACCTCCAAAGCCAAAACAGACTCCATCAACATCCTGGCCGACGTCCTGCCTGAGGAGATGCCGTGAGTGCCTTGGAGCAAGTTGTGGCCACAGTGGAGGGGAAGGGCCGGTTTGCTTGTGTCCCACTGTTCTCTAGGTTCGTTTCTCTTCTTCTGGACCACCTTCTGTTGAGCCTTCGAGGCTGAAGTTTAGGATCGTTCTAGAGACAGGGCTGAAGGTTTGGCTGTGCAGGTTGCAGAGGTGGCTTAGTCTAGCTGGCCCACGTCTAGTGTGGACTTGCTTTGCTGTGGAGTGAATAGAGAAAGCCATTGTCTCTGTAAAGGGACTTGCACCAAGGCTGCGTTTTCCAGCACCGTCCCTGGAGAACTTTGTTGCTGGGCCTCTGGGATGGGTCGGTTTACCCTCCAGACACTTGCCCAGAGGTGGCCTGTACCTGAGCAGGGTGTGGGGGCCTGTCCTGTCTTGGATCCTGCATGTTGTATCCTGCGTGTTGGTGAATGCAGGCTGGTGAATGCGGACCTGCGGAGCTCCAACCCGGGATGCGCTCTCTTCTCCAGACAGATGGCACAGGCCCGCTCTGTCCTGTTCCCCAGGACGCTCTCCTCCATGACTGACAGTGCAGGCCCGCTCTGTTCCGTGGGGGACGGGCCTGGCTGTGGCCGTGTCACCCATCTAGCTCAGAGTGTAGGTCCCTGCAGAACTGGGTCCCGAGTCTAGCTGTGATCGCCTGGTGATGGAGGATTGACTGATAATGGAATGTCACAGGCGTCCTCGAGAGGGGGGTTCATAGTTAAATACCACATCCTCTATTGAGGATGCAGGGTGAGGGGCTGAGGAAAGACCTCAGAGGGCTGGAGCAGGTACCTGGCATGCAGAGGGCTCTGCCTCCACTCTCAGCCCCGCGTGGCTCCAGAGCTGCCAGTGTAGCCCTCTGACCTCCCAGAGAGGCCCCCAAAAGAGTCACAGCGGGAAGTTTTGAGTGAGAAACGAACTTTACTTGAGACTCCCTGATTTTATCCACCTTCCAGACTCCTTTTCTCTCTCATATGGACAATCTCAGCATGCTCATAGTACATGGGCGCCTAGTGTCCCAGGTTGTGAGCTCAGGGAGTCACGGACGGTTTCGGGACACCTTCAGGTTTCGTTTTGGAGGGAAATGGGCTAAGGACGCCCGTGGGGTTTCATGGGAGAGCAAAAAGTTGAGTGATTGCTGGGAAGGTGCCAGCAGGAACAGGTGTTAGAGGAGCCCTCAGCTGTCTCGTGATGTCACAGGCACACGGAGGACAGTGGAGCCTCTGCCGAGAAGTGGAGGTGCTGTGCGCGTGGCATAGCTTCTCCTTCCTGTGTTTCCAGCACCACAGTGCTGCAGAGCATGAAGCTGGGTGTGGACGTGAACCGCCATAAGGAGGTCATCGTCAAGGCCATCTCCGCCGTCCTGCTGCTGCTGCTCAAGCACTTTAAGCTGAACCACGTCTACCAGGTACTCCAGAGCCTGCCTCCTGCCCGCGGACACTGCTGCTCCTTCGCACCGCAGGCTCCTGCCCGGGCTCACCTACTCTCCCCCTGTTGGTTTCAGTTTGAGTACATGGCCCAGCATCTGGTGTTCGCCAACTGCATCCCTTTGATCCTGAAGTTCTTCAATCAGAACATCATGTCATACATCACTGCCAAGAACAGGTGATGAGGACCAGGGAGCAGGGAAGGGTGTGGCTCCACACAGGGCTCCTGCTGCCCCTCCTCCCTGCTCCTCTCCCAAACACTCAGCCCGTTCAGTACCTGCTGCCGGCCTGTGCCAGGCTTCGGGCCACAGAGATGATTGAGCATGGGTGCGTGGCACATTCGAGACTGGTTGGCCTGGTGATAGGGCCTCAGCCTGAGCAGACACGGGCAGATGACCACCCTGGCCTCCAGTCCTGCCAGCCTCTGACCTACTTGCCTGCTAACCTTCCCCTCCAGATTGCAGTGCCCGTCCCTCAGATGTGCCCTACAGGGCATGTGGGCACCAGCAGCTGCAGGGCTTAGCACAGACTCATGGTCTGGAGAATTCCCTTCCCCAGCCCAGCACCATCGTGCAGCAGGGAGGAGGTGTTAGGGAGGAGTCAGGGTCTTCCCTTTCCCCCACCACAACACAGGTCTCACCCTAGCACGACCTTCTGCATTGCCCTGTGGCAGGTGTTTCCTGCCTCGGCTGCAGGAATCAGGGTGGGGCAGATGGGGCCCGCCCTGTCCCCTCACTTTCCCTGGCCTCTCCCCGCAGCATTTCTGTCCTGGATTACCCGCACTGCGTGGTGCACGAGTTGCCTGAGCTGACTGCTGAGAGTCTGGTGCGTGGCCTGGTCTCCCTTTCTTCCCCTGGCCTGCTCCTTCCCAGAGGCCGCCTGCGGGAAAGGCGTGCAGTGCGCAGAATGGGGTGTAGGGGTGACTTTTAGGAATATGACCTTTGGAGCCTCGACTGGTGGGGTTGCTTCCCTCGCTCTATAGACAGAGCCCAGCTCCCAGGGCTCCCCGGGAGGAGGCCCCTGTGCTACACGTTTCCTGCAGGAAAGTTGTCGGGGGCTGGGAGTAGCGCAGTAGGTCATGTGCCTTCTGTGTATGATACCTGGGCTTGATCCTGGCACCAGAGGCACAAATGTAGAGACCCCAGGGCTGCTGCAAGAGGCCCAGCGTTTGTGAGGGGGTGTGGGAGGCCCATGGACGGGGCTGTGCCTCTCCACGGGATGGTGAGGAGGCCCCTGGCTTTCCTGTAGGAAGCAGGGGACAATAACCAGTTTTGCTGGAGGAACCTCTTTTCGTGTATCAATCTACTTCGGATCTTGAACAAGCTGACGAAGTGGAAGCACTCCAGGACGATGGTGAGTCAGCAGACATAGTGCCAGGCATCAAAGCCCTCAACCAGAGGACAAAGGGGGCTCCCTCACCAAGTGCCCAGGACAACTGGACAGGAGGTTCAGCCGCGCACTGAGCAGAGCCTCCATGCGGTGAGGTTTCCTCCGCCTCCAACTCTCTGTTCGCACCAGCCCAGGTCTGGGGTGGCCTGTGATGCTTCTGAAGTCAGGTCTAGGGTAGGGCCACTGGCAATTCCTGTTGGCTCTTCAGCACTGCTGGGATTTTATTTGTTTCTGGGCTACAACTGGCAGTGCTCAGGGATCACTCCTGGAGGGCTCAGTGTACTGTATAGGGTACTGGCATCCAATGCCCCACTCACTCTACTCTCTCCAGCCTTGTGGGGTGCTGCCATGTTGGCCACTGGCAGTCCCTTGTTCCAGGAGTTTCCTAGTCAGGAAACAGGGGTTCTGGTGATCCTGGCCAGAACCTCAAAGGCAGCATTGCCAGGAGCCTTTATTTCTGCCATTCTGGCGGCCTAGATGCTGGTGGTGTTCAAGTCGGCCCCCATCCTGAAGCGGGCCCTGAAGGTGAAGCAGGCCATGATGCAGCTGTACGTGCTAAAGCTGCTCAAGGTGCAGACCAAGTACCTTGGCCGCCAGTGGCGGAAGAGCAACATGAAGACCATGTCGGCCATCTACCAGAAGGTGCGGCATCGGCTCAACGACGACTGGGCCTACGGCAATGGTGAGACCAGACACAGCTGAGGGTGGGCCCATCTGTCTGGCTCTGCAGAGTCCTCTCCGCCCCCGCATGGCTTGCTGCCATCTCCCCCCCAGCCCTTCCTGGGAAGTCCCAGGAGGCTCTGACGCCTTCTTTCTCTTCCCTGCTTCTGGCCCTCCAGATTCCCACTGCTCCCAGTGCTTCCTGCCATCAGCAGTGCCCCATGCCCGGCCCCGTATCCTTTCTAGTCCCATCCCCCTCTCTTCGAGTAATACCTTCATTCGCAGTGCCCTCACTTTGGACGAGTGCCAGATCTATGAACTGGGGTTGATTCTCTTCTCCCAGTGCCCCTGACTCTTCTCCTTTCCTGTCGGGCAGCCTCCTCAGCCTCCTGGGCAGAACAGGCTGCTACACGACTATCACACTTCCTGGCACCCAGACCACGGCTAGGTGACCCTCTGCCTGTGTGCCGAACCTGGGTACACTGATCCTGGTCAGGGAATTGAGAGAATGAGCAAATGAGGAGCCTGCTGGTGCCTCAGGAGCAGGGGTGAGGGGAGGTGGTGGTTGATGGTGATGGTCTGTGGTGTGTGTGTGTGTTTACATCTGTGCATGTGCGCACACTTCCAGAGGAGGGCTGAGCCAGGGCTCTCCCAGGCCCTGAAGGTATAGTCTCTGTCCGAGCATCTCTCTCCAAGGTTCTGGCTGTATCATTCCTCAGGCCAGGCCACATGGGCAGGGAAGGGTTCCACTGCCTCTTGAGCTACAGTGGACTCTGGGGAACTACCCAGAGCTTCCCCCTAACAGCAGCTCCCATTTTTGTCCAGACCTGGATGCCCGGCCTTGGGACTTCCAGGCAGAGGAGTGTGCCCTTCGTGCCAACATCGAGCGCTTCAATGCTCGGCGCTATGACCGAGCACATAGCAACCCCGACTTCCTCCCTGTGGACAACTGCCTGCAGAGCGTCCTGGGACAGCGGGTGGACCTGCCCGAGGACTTCCAGATGAACTACGACCTCTGGTTGGAAAGGGAGGTCTTCTCCAAGCCCATCTCCTGGGAGGAACTGTTGCAGTGAGCTGCTGTGCAGGGAGCTGGAAAGGGAAGCAAAGCAGGCCTGTTCGGGTGCCCGGGCCTGTGCTGGGCCACTGCTGCAGAACCCTCGCCGCCCTGCAGGTGGCAGCACGGCCCCACCGCGCGTCCGGCGCTGGCCCAGGACTTGTGCCTGAGAGCCCAGTTCTCCGGATGGTTATCTCAGCCTGGAAGTCTCGCCCTCCCTCTCTTGGATCCCATGGTTTACAACTTGTTTCTTGTCTTCCTTTCCCCCAAGGCCAGGGAGGGCTGGGCTAGGCTGGGACCCGCTGCCCCTGACCGCAGGGTCATGCTGACTTCCTGAGATGTCCGACCAGCCAGGGAGGCAGCCTGGGCCAGGCCAGGGAGTCAGCGTCTTGGTTGTACTCGGTGGGTTTGGGTGTCATCCCAGTCCCTGGCTCCTCCTTTGGTTGGGAGTGGCTGAGACTAGGACAGAAAGTCCCTCTTAACCAGAGGTGCCATTTGTCCTCGGGGTTTGCAAGGGTCTGTAAATATCTATATATAAATCTGTATTCTCCTGTGTCCCGTTAGGGTTTCAATGTGTTTGTGTATTCTGTTTACATTAAAAGGAAGCAAATTAATCCACGTTGCCCTGGCTACAGGAAGTATGGCCCTGACTGTTCCCATCAGCTCTGCAAAGTGGGCTTTCCTTTGGGGGGGCGGGGGTGTGCCATGCCCAGCAGTGCGCAGAGGCTGTTCCCAGCTCTGTCAGTGCTTGGGAGCCGGGGATCAAACCATGGTCAGCGGGAAGGGAAGCAAGGCAGGTGCTCTCTCTGTACTTCCCCCTGTACTTGCTCCAGTAGATTTTCTTCCCGTCATGAATAGGACACCCACTTGTCCCTGCCAGGCTGCCTCCTTTGTCCCCTGAGAGGGGTGATTGGAATTTACCCATGTGCTCACTTCCACCTGGCTCAGTCACTGTGGCCTCGAGACAAGAGTCTGGCCCTAGCATGGGGGTCATCAGAGACGGAGGCCTGGGCTTCTCTGGGTCAGGTCAGTTTCCTTGCTCCTTGATTAAATTTTGGCAGGATCTGGTGTTGGCTCATGTGTGCTCGGGGTGAGATTCTTGACAGAACTATAACTTCAGGGGCCTAGCTGACCACTCAGCTTGATCCTGGCCGAGCCCTTGCTACGTGCACCTGTAGCCTCAAGGTGCTATGGACCTCGTCCCGCAGCCTGAGCTTAGTCTCTTACGTCTGCCCAAGGCTATGCCCACGTGGACCCACCAAGGGTGAACCGGTCAGGCAGCGCTGGCTCAGCCTGGATTCTAACACTCACTTCCTGGGTGACCCAATCGAGTCAGGCTTTACTGAAACTGGTGGCCAAGAGGAAGTCCCGCCCACAGATGCAGGCAACACCTCTTGGTATTAATGGCCCTCGTACCTCTGATGCTCCATGAATTGAACGCTGAAAATCAGACCCTTTCAGACCTTCAAACCCTGTCTTTCCCATGCCCTCCATCCCCAGCATGCTGCTCTGAGTACATCAGCTGCTAGCCGTAGCCTTGCTCCTGGACCTTGAAAGCCTACCCCAGGCCGGGCCCTCTCCTCGTGCCCTGGACGTGCAGGTGAACAGGACCCACCCTCACTGTGGAAGGAGTGAGTGCCCAAGGGGATGGAGGGCACCCTGAGACAGATGTTGACCCCCCCCCCCCCCGCAGTGGGGAGGCGGGACTTGGGCAGCAGCTGGAGGGAGAGGGTTGCTCCTTGAGCCTGCTGAGCTGCTGGGGGAGCTGGGGTGGGAGGCAGGTACACCCCCTGCTGGACGCAGGGAGTAGCCGGCCAGGGGCCATACCCAGCTGTTTCTCCCAGGCTGTAGAGGTCAGCTCTTAGGGCTGTAATTCACATTAATGCTCAGACCCGCTGAGGTACTAGGGGAGATTGAGTGCCTCTAATGAGAAGCATCTTCCAGCGCTAGACTGAGGTGGCAAGTGTGGACCAAAGAACAACCACCAGTTCTTCCACTCTCCTGCCAGATCCAAGATTCAGGGCTCTGGAGTGGGCCCTGCTGATCTCCTTGGGGCAGCGGGAAAACCCAGGGAAGGGAGATGGAGTCCAGAAGCTCCCTTTCATTTTGGGGCAGGGAGGACACCCCCTTTCCTTTTCTAGAAGGGGTGACCAGAGGCCCAGCCAGGCTTGTAGAAACACAACCTCAGCATGAGGTCTGAGGTCACGTCCGGAGCAATCCTGGGAGCAGCGGCACCTGGAGACCTGGGGCGAGAGGCCTAGGGTGTGGGGGAGAAGAGGAGGCTGGGGTGGAGGGGGCTAATAGGAAGCAGGTGGAAGGCTGCCCTCGTCCCAGTCAGGGGACAGGCCGGCGGGATGGCCCGGCAGTGGGAGAAGCCGTCAGCTCACAGATAATCCGGGAGCAGGCTCCGGGGTGCCCATCCATATTCATTATGTGTGAAGCGGGCGGTTGTAGAGTTCGCTTTCTCTTCATTTAGCTGTCACTGGACAAAAAAATATGAGCTGTGGGCAGATGCCCTGGATGGGAGCCAGTAGCTGGGCTCTGGCCTCCCTGTGCCCTCCCCGCCCCCCTCGGACCGCCTCTCCCACTGGTCCGACCCTCCTCTCCGCACCCCCTCATGCTTCCTTTGCTCGGGCCTCCACAGACCCTCCAGCAGGTCTCTCCCTCTGTAACAGACTTGACGACTCAAGAACTAATGCACCCCCGCCCCCGAGTGCCGGGATAGTAGGTCCAGCGTTTCGTTGCCCAGTCCCCAGGCGAGGAACTCCTGGGTGCAGTGAACCTGGAATTAGAAGCCAGGGCTGGCTTCCTGGTCATTTGGTTTTGCTTTTAGGTCTCACCCAGCGGCCCTCAGGGGTTACTCCTGGCTCAGCACTCAGGGATCACTCCTGGTGAGGCTTGCAGGACCTGATGGGGAACCGGGGATCGAACCACATTCGACTGTGCTAGGCTTGGGGCCTTAATCCTTGTCCTATCTCTGGCCCTCATGAGTTTTTATTGTTTAGAGTTTGGAGGGTCTTTTGTTTGGGGGCCACCCCGGCTCCATGCTCAGGGGTCATTCCTGGCGGTGTCCGGGGGAGCATACAGTACAGGAAATGGGACCCAAACGTTCTGCATGCCATGCATGTGCCCCAGGTCTTGGCACCATCTCCCGGTGCCCACACTCGGTCTTGACCAATGTGGAAGGGTCTTCGCCTGGCACTTCCCATCCCATCACACAGCAAGGGCTCACGCTGGAGCCTGGTCGGGCTGGGAGGGAACTGACTGATGGGAAGGGCAGACAGGAGCCTGCCTGTCACGGGACAGCGGCAAGGGCTTGGTTGCAGGCTGGCTCCTTGGCCTGGAAGAGGAGGTCGGGTGGGGCGGCTGAGCCGCAAATGTGGTTGTGTTTATGGGGAGGGACAAGCCTGATTTTTTTTTCCCCCGTCTTCCTGGCTGCAGAGATAAGGCAGAAAGTGGGGGTGCAGGCTAGCATGTACTCTGAAACCACAAGAAAGGAGTCCTGGCTTTTGTCTCTGCCCCACAGACTCGGGGTTGTCTGGGGGAAGCAACGGCCCCACCCCCTCCATTCTGGGTTCCAGTGCAGCAGGCTCTCACACAGAGCCCTCGATGGGCCCCCAGCCTTCCATCCCACCTTCCGCCAACGGTCTGTTCAGTCTCCATCTCCGCTTGCCCACTCTCCTCCATCTCCAACTTTCCCTTCCTCGAGCCCTTGTTGTCCCAGCCGCCCTGCACCAGACTGCACCAGACCTTGAAGCAGGGCACCTTCCTGACCTCCAGGGCTCCTGCTGGCCTGGGGGGAGGGGACCTGCGAAGACAAGCTTACCCCTGCTACAGCCTGACACTCTTCACCGGTCTGGAAAACAGTGCCACCTTTATTTTGTTGGGCAGCAGTGAATTTTTTTTTTGATTCATTTGGTTTTTGGTTGGTCTTTACAGAAATGGGTTCAGAATCTCAGGGACTCCGTCTGTGGAACTCTTTTATTCTTAGCAGCTTCCAATGGATTAGCTGCGGAGGCCTATAGTTTGAACAATGTAGCTCTGGCCTGATCCCATGGAAAAGAGTCGAACTACGTGGTGGTTCTGGTGGAATCTCCGCCCCTTGGAGGGGGCAGATGACTCCATAGCACACTCAGGGTGGGAGCACAGGGCAGGAGGGTGGCTAAAGCAGAGGACAGGGCCACCACCTTTCACACCCCTTGCTGTCCCCAGCCCACCGGGTGCATGCCCCCTGGCGGCAACCAGGAGAAGTGTGAGCTTAGGCGATCCGTGAGCTTCAGACACGGGCACTCGGCTGGTTCAAGTGTCCTCTCATTTTCCTGAGTTCCCTCCGTGAGGAGCCCATTCAGCTGTGTCAGTTAAGCCTGGATGAAGCCTGGAGGAAGGTGGCGGCCTTCCCCCAGCCCAGAGCTGGGTGAGAGGACCAGTGTGCGGTAGGAATGCTTTGAAGCCCCCTTGCTGCTAGGCAGCCCCGCCTTTCTCTGCGGCTGGATGCCGGTGGGAGGTGGAGGGTCCCTGCTGTTCCGCCCGGGCCTCCAGGAACCATCTGGGGCTGGGAGGCAGAGGTGTGTTCCGATGCTCTCTGGCATCCAGGCAGGGGTACAGCGGGAGCAGTGGGGGGGCGGGGGCGGGGGTAAGTAGCTTGGTCCCAGAGCCCACCCCGCCGCTCACGTGGTCCAGTTCAGCAGGCTGGGTGGCTCCTTGGGCTTCACCCTGAGTGAGACGAGGCTGGGAGACTTATAGTCGCTGTCCGGGGAGGGCTCAAAGCTGTGGCCACTCAGGGCAGGGGAAAAGCCATGGAGGGAGTAGACGCCGGGATGGGCTCGGGGCGACGCTGGCACCCCCATGAAGCCAGCCACGTTGCCATGAGAGTGAGAGTACGGAGACATGCACGGGGAGGGGATGCCCTCTGGAGACATGAGGCAAGGCCCCCCGGGACTCCCAGAGCCAGGGCCGGCCCACAGGGAGTTCTGCAGCTGTGAGGGAGAGAGGGAAGCCCATGAGTGCCCCTGAGGCCTTCTGCCCTTTGACTCCAGAAACTTTCCCAGAAGCCTCCCCGTGCCTAGGTCTGAAGCTCCCCACTTTCTATGCCCACCAACGGTGGTATGTTAGGAAGCCCCTGTCTGCTACCCGTGAGCACCTTTGTTAGCCAACAGGGGTGGACGTGATACTGCCAGGGGCAGCAGGATCTGATGCCAGTGCAGTCGGATGCGGGGTGGGGGCGGGGGGGTGTGTCTCACCTGGGGGTGGCTGTCAGTGCGGGGCAGCACAGAGATGTCGTAGGCCGACGTGAAGGGATTCCGCCCCTCCTGGACCTTACCGTACCGCTCACGCTTTCGCCACTTGGCTCTGCGGTTCTGGAACCACACCTGCCGGCAGAGAGAGGTTACGGCATCCCTCAGGGGATACTGGCTCTGGGTGGCAAGGTCTTGGACTCTTCGTAGCTCTGAGCTAAGGGGTGACCCCTGGTGGCGGGGCAGGGGATGGAACCCGGGTTGGTGCCATATCTGCAAGCCCAAGGCAAGTACCCCAACTCCTGCACTTACCCGCCAATGCGCTGGAGGATCTTGAATCACGGGAACTTAAAAATCTATTTTCAGGGCCCAGAGAGCTTGGGAGGGGCCGAGAGGGTTTATGGGCCCCATGACACCTCCCGGCTGCTTCCCCCGACCTCCCCAGGCTGAGTCACGTCCTCTGGCTTTCCAGCCAGGCCGGGCCCTGTTGGGGTCTGTGAAACTTAGGGGATCCTGGCAACTTCCTCCTGGGAAGAAGGAGGACCCCGCTGTCCCCTTTCTCTGCCCAACGCCCGTGTGGCATCGAAGGGCTGAATGGTCTGCTCCGATCTTCCCACAGAACCACGGGGGGTCTCCAGACAGTCCTCCTCATCGCCAGTCCATAGCACCTTCTTCTTTCCTTTTCACTGTTCCCCAGTTTGTCCAGGACACACCCTGCTGCCTTGTGGCCCCCCGCTTTCTCCTAGGAGCCTGCCTGCACCCCCAAGCCCAGCCTCCCCAAGAGTCCCCAAATGCCTCTGCCTCTCATGGCACTCGCCACCTCTCACACGGCCATCTGATTCCCAGGGTCTCTGCCGTTTGTGTGCAAGCACTCGGCTGTCTGTGCTGCACGTGTACCTGTCGGCCTTGGTGTATGCGCAATGCCTGTGACATCCGTGCGTGTTGCTGCATGCGGTTTGTGGTTTCATCATTCAATAATGGCCTTTTAATAACTCAGTGTCTGGTCTGTAGGAGGAAGCCTGTCTGCAGAGGCCGGGGGAATAGAATGGGGGATTTGGGACGGTAGTGGAGGGAAGCGGGCACTCTGGTGGGGGGATGGTGCGGAAATGTTTTATGTATGAAACCCCGCCATGATCATTATTATAAATCACTATGCCTAAAATAAAAATTTAAATGAAAGAGTAAACAAACATGCTAGGCTCCAGGAGACACTATGGAAGCCAAACTAAACCAAGCCAGACAATACACCTGCTTTCCAGGGGTGTATTAGGGAGTTGGGACAGTAGGACATGTGTGCGTGCACCCCCCCAACACACACACACACACACACACACACACACACACGCACACCTGTGGCTGTCCCTAGTCAGGCAGGCAGCAGGGACCTGATGTAGAAGAGGGGGACCTGCCCACTCCCTCAGCCTCCCGAGCAGGCCTGCCCAGGCGGGGAGGAAGAGCACTGCCACTTACCCAGCTGCCTGGTCCATTTCCTCTGTTCTCTGTCCCCTGTCAGCAGGTAGAGGAGCCTGGGACCAGTCAAGCCAAACACTCGCCAGCTACCCACTGCCCGCTCAGAGCTCCGGACCCTGCACCTGCCCATGTGGGCCTGTCTTAGTCCCTCTTTGGGATGGGCCTCTGACAGAGGAAACACCCTGACTCTAGGGCAGCTTCTGGTGATGCCCCCATCCCACCAGAGTCTGAAGGCCTAGGAGACGGGGGTACGCTCCCCTGGGCACAGCTGTCCAGCGCCCCTCACCCTGGTAGTGTCGGGGGTCACCAGCTCAGGCCTGCACCTTATGTAATGGGGGGGGGGGGGGTCTTGAATGCACCCTGATGGGCCAGGAAGCAGTAGGACATGCTGGCAGCAGTAAGCTCAGGCTGCTACCTGAACACAGCTCAGCAGAGAAGGGGGAAGAGCCCCAGACCCCAGACCCAGGCTGAGCTTAGCTGTGGCCACCTCTGTGGAATGGCTGTGTGCCTGCCACGAGTTCAGCCAGCGTCGTGGCCTTCCCATGGAGTTCCCAGAGGCAACCATGGCACAGGCATGAGCTTGGCGGCAGGAATGGGGAGAAACTCTTCTTCTTCCAGGTCACCTCAGAAGCCCAAGTGGGGCCCTCTGCCCATGCCTGGTGCTTGCACACTTGTGCCAAGCATGTTCCCTCCCACTCTCCCCCCCAGACTCTAGCTTGCCCCACCCCACCCCTTCCTGGGTCCCAACCTGCCTCAGCGCCTTCCCTTCCTGCTCTGGCTGCAAATCCCCTTCACAGCCAGCGAGTGGAGTGTGGCACACCGGCCTGGGGCAGGGAACCGGGGTGGGCACTGGGCAGGCCACTCTGCTCAGCACCAGGGCCCAGTTTCTGGGTGGTGGAGGAGCGGGAGGGTCCATGCACGGGGTACCCTCACCTGGACGCGGGCCTCGGTTAGGTCTGTGCGCAAAGCCAGCTGCTCCCGGGCATACACATCAGGGTAGTGGGTTTTCTGGAAAACTTTCTCCAGTTCCTCCAGCTGGAACGTGCTGAAGGTTGTGCGGTTCCGGCGCTTCTTGCTCTTGTTCTTGGCCAACTCCATGGAGTCGGGGAGCCCCGGTGACAAGGGAACACGCAAGCTGGCCAGGCAAGGGCCCGGGGAGCCCTGCAAGTTTGAGGGTCCGTCCCTGGGGCCCCCTCGGCAGTCCAAGGGCAGCTGGGGGAAGCTGGCAGCTTTGGTGGCCTTCTCCTCCGCTGCAATGGAAAACATAGAAAGGAGGATGGGAGCAGAACCAGGGGGTTTTGTGGGTGGAATGGAGGGAGGGGAGAGGCTGCCGCCTCCGCCCCGCCCCCCCTCCTCACAGCCACCCTGCATGGAAGCCTGCCTGCTGCTGCGCCTCCAGCCGGGGAGGGGGCCCTGGGGAGCCCTGTGCTCTGTGGTCTGGGCGGATCCTCCGGGCCAGGCCAGAGGGGGGCTCATTTCGGGGAAGCGCTTGCTCTGTGGTGGAGCATCCCCCAGGGTGTGGAGGTGCCAGGATTGGCGCCACCAGGCAGGGCCAAGTTCAGAGGTGGGGGTGGTGATGAAGGCAGTGGCTGCCCACACCCGCCCCTGCCAGGATGTGCCAGTCTGTCCCCACTCTGCAGGCCTTGGTTGGTTCCCACGTTCCTGCAACCACATGTGTGTGTCCAGGCCCCTCTGGTGGGTCCTGTTGGGCCTCACTCTCTGAACCCCGGGTCTCAGGCCAGGTCAGATCCCCTTCCCCAAACCTAAGGCATGAGGTTTGAGGCAGGATGGGGCAAAGCAGCTTCTGATAGCAGTGGTCTGGTGCTCCCCAATATTGTGGAAGAGCGGCTGGGCATGGGAGGGGCCCCTTCCTTCCTCACAGCTTCACACCCCCTGCCTACTCTGGGAGTTTCTGACAGATCCCTGGCACCCCCATCTTAGGGTTGGGGACCCGTTCCCAGCAGCCCAGCAGCCCACCCGAGGAGCTTCCTCTCAGAAGGGGGTGGAACTCTGCCGCAGGCAGGCATGGGGGGGGGAGGGGAGGCAGTGGTGAAAGTAGGTCACCCTGAATGCTCCCTGCCCGGCCCGGTCCCTCTGGGAGCACCCCCAGCAGCCTCAGCATGAAATCTGTTCTCGACAGTTAGCTGGGGCAGCAGCATGGACGCCAGGAAGACGCCCACTCCCCTCCCTCCTCAGTGGGGGCCTGGCCCTCAGGATGCTCTAGTTGGCACCAAGACCTTGTGGTGTTAGGATCCAGCAGGGACCCACAGGCGGGTGAGCGGCCGGGTCCCCCACCTGTCTGTGCTGTGGAGGACAAGAGGGCAAGGGGGGTCTCATCTGAGGGGGGGGGTCAGTGACCTCCCAGGAAAATCCAAGCTCTGTACTAAGGTCCTTAGTTGGGGCAATCTGGGGGAGTCTGGGGAGGGGGGGCCCTGGGGGCAGCAGGCGGTCACCAGAAGGCTTCCAGTCCCCGACTTCCATTCTCCCTTGACACATTTTGGTTCTGGAGGTACTTTCATGTAGTGGGAGCTTAGGACAAAGGGCTCTTGGAAATGGAACTGAGAACTGAGACCCCCCGGGACTCTGGAATGTTCCCATACCCTGCAAGGCTGTGGGGTTGGGCTCCTGGGGCCTGAGAGAAGTCCCGTGGGACTCTGGGCAGAAAAAGGGTCAGAATGAGTCCTGGACGGGGTCTCAGGGAGCACCCAGATCACGGCAGATGATTCCCCCAAAATCAGAATGGGGATCCCAAAAGGGTCTGTCCAGAGGAAGTGGGGTCTGGAGCTGAGGCTCCCGACTTTCCTTCCTCATCAGAAACCTCCTCATAAACCGACTGGACGAACTGAAGCAGCTGGGGACTTCTGAGTGCAGCTGCCCACCCTCAGCCTCCTCAGAGGTCCAAACCTTCGTCTCCAGCTGCCTGGGAGCAGACAAAGGCTCCTCTGGGTCATTGCCTCCACCCGGAGAACTCCGAAGGGACAAAGGGACGGCGGCATTTTCCTTTTGGGGGACAGAGGTGTACCTCCAAGAATGCCGGGAGAAGGAGGTGGGACAAATGAGGGGCACCCCTGGCGGGGTCAGGAAGGATTGGCCGGCCGCGGAACCGAATTTGGAAGAGAAAGATGTTCTTCGTGGTGGGACGGGAGTGGGAGACCCGCGCACCTGGAGGTGCCGGGGTGGCTAAGGGGTAGTGCATAGGTGGCTGGGGCTCTTGCCCGTGACCGGCTCAACCGCGGTGCCTGAAAGTCATGAGCTCAGCCCGGACCTAGGAGGCGGCGGCACGGCTCTACCTGACGCGGTTCTCACACCCCAACGCACTTCCCCATCCAGAAAAGGCTGCCGAGCACTGCGGCCGGGCGCGGTCCTGACCGACCCGACAGACCCCGCCGAGCGCGTGGATCTCCGGGCTCCGCGAACTGGCCGGCACAGAGACGCCGCGTGTCGGTTGCAGCGATGCCGGGTCTCGAGGCCCCGGGCAGACGCACAGAACTCGAGTCGTCGCTCAGAGGGCCACGGTTCCGGTGCGCGCGTTTGCGCGGCCTTTCCCGGAGTCCGTCGGACCCTTTTCGGCCGTCTGAGAGCTGCGCCCGCATCCAGGGGGCGGCCACCGGTAGAGCTCGAAGGCACGGCCGTGCGCTTTCGCGGCCCGCAGCGCAGCCCCGAGCGGAGCGCACGCGGACGGTCCGCGCCGTCCGCACGCGGCGGGGCTCCGGGGCTGCGTGCGGCGCTCTGGAAGCGCGCGGAGCTTCGGGGGGCCTCAGCAAAGATCGTGCTGCAGCTGGGGCGCAGCTGCGTGCTCACTGGTCTAAACTGGAACCGCCCTGGGTCCGTTATTTTAAAAGAGAAATAAGGCGGGTTCCCCCCTTGGCTCGCTACTTTCTACCACGGGCTGAGCGTCGGTCCCGGGGACAGCTGCGCCGCGCACTGCACCGAGGCCCTCTGCAGGGGTGACCTCCCGCCCGCTGTGCAGCCTCTGCCCTCCGCACATAGATGAACCACTGCGTCCCTTTTGCGTAGGGTCTTTGCTCACAAGCGGCGGTGCTCGGGGTTTACTTCTGGCTCCGCTATGGATCACTCCTAGAGATGCTGGGGTCCGGGGGGAATCATACGTGGTGCCAGGGATAGAACTGGGGTCGGTTGTGTGCAAGGCAAATCCCTTGGACCCCGGTACTATCTCTCCTGCCCTCAAGTCTAATCGTTCATTTCTTTCTATTCATTTTCTGTTGCATTCTGCATTTTCCTCCTCTTTTAGGAAGTCCCCGGTTCCCCTTTCGTTTTGCCTGCCCTTTCTTTCCCGTTCTTTGCCGCTTTCTCCGTTTACCCGCTTCATCCGATCCTCTGCTCACTTCTTAACTTTTTCGTTCGTTCATTGGCTAGACGCCGTCCGGCTCTGCCCAGCTCGCCAACCTGCCCTTTCACCTCTGGCCTCTCACCGCCCTTGTTTTCGGTCCAGCGTCCTTCTCCCTCCGTTTCGTAGCCGCTGGCGCTCTTGGCGTTTCTTCCGATACTTTTCGTTCTCGACGATCGATCCTCGTTCAGCGCTGCCGGGTCGCTCACGGCCGCGGGGCGCGCTCCAAGGCTGGGAGTCAGTGCGCGCTGCGTGCGGGCCGCGGCGCGCCTTGTCAGGGCTGGGCCTGCCCGACGCGGCGGCGTTCGGAGCCGTCCCGGGTACCTGTGCCCGGCAGTGCTCAGGGCGTTGCGCGGCCGCCGCCGTCTGGCGGGGCTCAGAGGAGCCAGGCCAACTGCTTCTCATTAAGTCTCAACTGTGGTTTTTATCAGAAGAGCCTCCTTTAAAGGGCTCAGACACGCAGCTCCGCGGACTCTCTCATTTCCTCCGCTGACCCCCACACACCTCCCCGCCCTCCCCTCCACATTCTCACCGCCCGGCTGGGCGAAGGCCGGGGCTGCGGGGCGGCTCTGCGGAGGCCCGCGAGGCGCCGGCGGGGCGGAGGCGGCTGGGGAGCCTGTGCCCGAGCGCCCCGCTGCCCGCCCGGGCTGCGGGATGGAGCGGCCCGGTTTAGGGAGGGCGCGGGTGCCGGTTTCCCGCAGCTCCTCCAGTGCAGCGGCTGGCGCTGCGGCTGCGTCCCGGGAGTCCCGGGCACCCCGGGGCTTTAGGTCCGGGCGGGCAACTCCTGGTGGACCCGCGGGGACGTAGCAGCCGGGAAGCCCGGACGTGGAGAAGGCGGCCGTCGCCGCGCCTACAGACGGGGAGGCCAGGTCAGTCTGAGAAATAAGAGAACAGTTACCCGGCATCGGCCTGCCCCGTGCCCTGCACGCAGGCAACGCCCTGCCCACCGAGCCCGGGCCTGGGGGCCGGGGGCCGCCGCCGGCCAGGCCGCAGCCCTCGGCGGTGCCCGGCGTGGCTACCCGCGGGCGCCACACACAAAAGCCGCCCCTCTGCCGTGGGACGCGGGGCCGGGGGCTCAGTGCGGTGCGGTGGGCCCGGCCCGGGGCTCGGTGGCCGTCCCGCCTCCGCTCCCGCCCCGCTCGATCTCTCCTCCCCAGCGCCCGCCGCCCGCGGCCCCTGCGCGCCGCGGGGTACGGGCCGCCCGGCTCGGCCCCTGGTCCATCGGCCTGAACCGGCGACGGCCGGGCTCGACGGAGCCGCCTCGAGGGCCTCGAGGGCGAGACGGGAGTGGAGGCCCGCGCGGGCCCGGGGAACGCCGGCGAGCGGGTCCCGGCTGCGTCCCGCGCCCCGTGCCCCGCGTTACCTTCCGCGGGTCCTTCGTAGAAGTGGCCGCCGTTGAGCGCCGGGCCGGCCCCGAGGACCTGCAGGTACTTGGCGGGCGGCTTGGCCGGCTCCGGGAGGAAGGGCTCCAGGGGCCCGCAGGCCGGAAAGCGGGTCAGCCGCGGGCCGCGGGGAGGTGCGGGGTGCAGGTGGGGCGCGGCGCTGGGGGTCCCTGGGGCGCCTGGAGACTCTTCCCCCGCGGCTGTGTAGGGGCTGGGCCCGGGCCCCACCGTGAAGGGCGCGCAGCGCTCGGGGTCCATGCCGACTCGGGGCTCACAGGCCGCCGGGGCTCCGGGGCTCGCGTTGCCCGCGCGGCCTGTGAGCGCCCGCCAAGGGGGAGGGACCTGGGCGCGGGGGCGCGGAGCCCCCGGGAGCGGCGCGCGCCGCGGGGGGCGGGGGACAGGGGAGGGGGCCTTGCCTCTGACTTAATGCTGGAACCATCCACGTCACGTGCGCCCCGCGCCGGTTAACCCCTCGGAGCCCGGGAGCCCCCTGAATCACCCCTTCCCTTATCCCATGCCTTTAGAGATCAGGGTCCCTTTTGTCTGCCCGTTTTGGGGAGCCCCTTGTTCGGAGCAGCCTCCTGGCATCCAGCCTACAGGCTCTTGCGCCTAGATGGGGAGAGACCATTGGAGGAGGGGGACTTATGAAGAGTCCTCCCTTCAGTACACCCCAAAATACTTAGGCCTGGTCTCCAGACATCATCCTGGATTGCGGGTCGGGGTGGTCGGACTAGTGTGGGACTTGCCTTCACCCTGCTGCGGGCAGGCAGAGGACGTTGGCCCTTAGCTGGAAAATCTTTGCTTCTCCCAGGGAGAGGGCACTGGGCTTGGAACAGTTCAGGGCTCCGGTTTGGACAGGGCGGGCGAGCGCTGGGCCCAGGCGCTGTGGATCAGCAGTAGGTCCTTGCGCTTCTTACCGTGCCCATTTGATGCACTGAGTCCATCTCATTTCCCCCAGGGTTCCAGAGCAGACTGGAAGACTGGAAGCCACGGGCGTGGGAGGGCCCTGCACAGTCCTGCAGGGACTGCCGTGGGAGCAGGTGGACTAAAATAAAAAACGTGGAAGGTTTTTGCCTTTCAATCCGGCAGGAAGGGGGCAAATGTCCTGTTGGTGTCTGGGGACCTGGGACCCCTGCAGAGGCACCGTCTGGTTTCAGATCTCAGGACTGCTGCCACCTGCTGCCATTTCAGAGGGAGGAGAGCACTGGACTCCCCAGGCAAAGGAAGCAGAGAATCGGGTGGCAGCTTGATTTTTCTGCCAATAGAGTCCAGAGTATACAGGGGTCAAGGTACTTGCTTGCCTGGCACGTGGTCAATCATGGCTCCATCCTGGCACCCTGTATGGCCCTGAGCAACTCCCTGCGCACTGTGGGGTGTGCCCCCAGACAAACAAAAAAAATGCGGCTGCAGAAATGTCTCAAAGACTGAGCACACGCTTTGTACGCTGGAGCCCCAGGCTCAATTTCCAGGACCACATGGTCTACAATCACCAACCGAGTGACACCCCCAAGTACAGAGCCAGGAGTAAGCCCTGAGCACAATTGGTATGACCTCTAAACCAAAAATAAATGAGTAGATGGATAAAAGAATTCCCAAAAAGAGAAGCAGCCAATGTCTGCCTAAGCCTTGGGGGAAAATAGCCAAGGTGCTGCTGCTTCTGTGGACTGTGGGGTTTCTGCAGCGAACCATTGTTTAATTCTCAGTGCCCCAGAAGTGAGTGGGAAGAGCTGGGAGGTGGACATCATTTGTATTTCATTTGAATTCTCAATTTTTAAAGGAATCTGAGAGGTCTGGTGTGAACACCTCCCTCTTCCGCTGGGGGCTTAAAGGGGGTTTCTTGGCTGTCCTCAGCCCAGGCTGGGCTGTAAATCAAGGGCAAACAGGAACCAGAAGCCTTGCATCTCACAAGCAGTCATTAAGCCGTTATTAAACGTACCGTCACTTCTCTGAAGCATTATTGGTTTAAACACCACACTGGAGGCATTATGGCCATTAGGGCCCCTAATCACAGACTGCAGATGGCCAACAGGGAACACCTGGGCTTGATATTTCTAGCCAAGACGGAGACTCCGCTCAGAATTAAGCTTCCTCTCTGGCCTCACCAGGGAGACCCATTTCCCAGGATCTAGTTGATCTAAGCTCAGGGCAATGGACTTATTTAGATCCCCCCTCTTTTTTTTTAAATCCATGAATAAGGGTTTTCTGTAGAAACCTTTTCTGTCATTGGAACACGGTTGTGGGTGTTGTTGACCTTTTAGGAGGATTGTTAGTGTCAGTTCAGGAGACCAATTCCTTTCAGAAAGTTATCAAGCAGCTGACTTTGTAGCTGGTAGAAATAAGAGGACTAGAGTACTACAGAGTACTACAGGTAATGTGCTTCCCTTGCTTGAGGCTGGTCCTAGTTTGATCCCCTGCACTTCAAGTAGTTTGTAAGCCTGTCCTGGAGAGATCCTTGAGCTCAGAATCAGGCGTGTACACTGTCAGGTGTGTCCCCAAAACAAAACAAAAGAAAAGAAGAGGAGGAGAAAAAAAGAAGGTGTGAAAGCACAGTGAGTAAGCACATTCCCATCCCAACCCATGCTTGATCCTCGAAGTCTTGAGATCTCCTGAATCCATTATGAGTGATCCCTGAGCAGAGAGCTGGGAATAAGCCCCAAGCACCATCACACCAAAACAAAACAAACAGATTCCCTCCGCCCCCAAACAAAACACCAACAAAAAACATGTCATAAAGAAGTTGCTACCAATGGTTTGATTAGGGCAGCCTGACTTAAATGCATCTGTTTTTCCCTAAGTGATAATTTTTCTGAGCCTTGTCTTCGTCTTCTCATCATAAAAAATGCATCACTTGCTTTCATGTTTTGAGGGATGTGCTTTGCTAAAGAGCTGATGAGTGATTAGGATCCCCAGAAACAGCATCCCAGATTTCTGAGTTACAGTACTGAGTTGGTGGAGGGTTCCTAGCCCTAAACATGATGGGTGGAGCTTAGCAGAGAGACCCCCGCACGCCCCCTCAAGTCCTGAAGATCCTCTTGCTTTTCTCCCTTGCTTCAGAGCAGAGCCAGTGTCCATAATGCCATGCTGTTGCAGACCGGGCTGAGACTGAGGGAAGCTCAGATCACATTCTGGTTTTTGCATCAAATCTTGTTTTAGGGTGTCTTCCAGAACCATGCAATATAGGGCACTCAGAGGAGACTGACCTGGCCCTGTCCCCCACAAGTTTCAAACTCATTACAGTCTGGGATGATTGGATGTATGTGTGGGGAACACAGAGATGATCTCAGAGATCTTCTTTTTTTCATTCTTTTATCTTTCTCTTTTGTTGTTGTTGTGGTGGTGGTGGGGCCACACTCAGTGTTGTTCAGTGCTTACTTTTGGTTTTGTGCTCAGGGATCACTCCTGGGGGTGTTTGGGGGACATTATATGCTTGCACATAAGGACCTTATAATAGGGATTGATCTGGGGTTGGCAAATACCTTAAGATCAGTACTATCTCTTTGTTCCCCACCTCAGTTCTTAAATTTCCCTTTGCAGAAGATTTGATGAGTCACAGGGTTCTAGTTTTGTAAATAAAAACAATAGTCAATAATCAACATGGAGAGCTTATAGTACATCAGGCTGATGTGGTCTAGATTTTGGTTTTAATCTCGCAATTCCGAGACAGAGATACAATTATGATCCTCATTGTGCTGAGAAAGATGCTGAGGACATCCAAAGGAGTCCTTTGAACAGAGACATAACCACGTAGTAGCAGAACAAGGAAGGATGGATTCTCATGTGATCCCACCCATCCCTGAGTCCTTCTGCTCATGTGGTGAGCCAAGGCACACCCCCTTGTCTCAAAGGAAGGTCAGAGCTTCTTCCTGTAAGGGAAATTGAGGCTGGGGACAGAGCTAGTGGCCAGAGGGAACTGCAGGTTTCTTTCACAATCTCCAGGTGGAGTCGAGTAGACTCATGCCTTCAGAGGTGGCTGGGACAGCAGCATGGTCTCTCCTGCTATACCCAGACCAGATGAAGTACAGAGGTTTTATGAGCCTGCGCATGGGCACTTGTGAGGCAAGGTTTCAAAAGAAGGTGCAGCTTCACCATCTGTGTTGTGTCATTTCCAGTTGAATTAGAGTGATTGTCACTGATTTATTGTGCATGGAATATATGAGGAGGCTAACAGGATGAACCAGATACTTTTCGATGCTAGGATGGAGACACTTTTTGTTTATTTATTTATTTATTTTGCTATTTGGGTCACACTCGGCAATGCACAGGGGTTACTCGTGGCTTTGCACTCAGGAATTACTCCTTGCGGTGCTCTGGGGACCATATGGGATGCTGGGAATCAAACCCGAGTTGGCCCCATGCAAGGCAAATGCCCTACCCACTATACTGTTGCTTTAACCCCGGAAACACATTTTAAAAACATCTCTCGGGACTGGAGAGATAGTACAGTGGGAATGGTGTTTACTTCGCAAGAGCTGAGCGGGGTTTAATCCATGGAACCACATACGTATGGTCTCAGCCAGGAGTGATCCCTGAGCACAGAACTAGGAATAAGCTCTGAACTCAGCCAGGAGTGTTCCAATCAAAACCCAAACTGAATAAAACAAAACCACTCCTTCTGCAGAGAAAAACTGCTTTAAAATAATACTGGTTGTTTCTCTGCAACTGTTTTACACTCATTAATTGTTTAATTCATCCTTTCAATAGGAGAACCGGCTCTGTGATGGGCATTTGCTGGCCCTGGGATCCTGCAGAGGTGTGACTCCCGCCTTCTGGAGGCTCACGTGGCTAGAACTGCCCCACAATGAGAGAACTTGATATTGGGACAGGAGTTAGAATGGATTCCAGTCTGCAAGCACAGCTTCTGCCTCCAAACTGTAAGTCAGTTCTTGAGTTGGGAAAACTTCAGTCCCCACGACTATTTTGCTTTTCAGTTTCTTTCTTTTTTGGGGGGGGTGTCACACCCGGCGATGCTTAGGGGTTACTCCTGGCTCTGCACTCAGGAATCACTCCTGGCGGTGCTCGGGGGACCATATGGGATGCCGAGATTGAATCCAGGTCGGTCTCCTGAAGGCAAACGTCCTCCTTGCTGTGCTATCACTCCGGCCCCTAATTCTTTTTTGTTTGGTTTTGCTTTTGGGGCAGTGCTTGGGGGCTCCTCCTGGCTTGGTGCTCAGGAACCAGGCAGTGCCAGGGACGAAATCCAGGGCTCCTCCATGCCTCGCAGGCTCCCCAGCTCTCTGAGCCACCTCCTCAGCCCTGCTTTTCATTTCCGACAGCCCCC